ATACCCGACTTGACTGAGTCAACTTGACTCCCAACGCACGGCTCAACTAAGGTACAGAAAAGCCTATTGCATGTGCATCTATTAGTCTCAAGAACTCACCTTAGGTGAGTCACCTTCCGTTCAACGGTAACAAGGACTAGTGAGCGCTTGAAGCACTAAAATAACATCTTCGATAACGATCTAATAATTTTGTTGCGATAATAATTCATCGATCTCGCTCATTTGGATTTGTTTTCTTAGTGGAAAGCTATGTACGTACATCACGTACGGTACGTGAGTATCAATCACTCCTTATGCATACGTGCTGCGGTACTACTACCGGGCTTCATGCCCTCTGCAGCAATCTTCGATCATATTTTGCAGGACTGCGGAAGTCCCGGCCCAGCAGACGACAATATAATTTCGTTGATGATGTCGAACATCGACGATGTGGATCAGTTCCTAGCCACGACTGTTAGTCGTCGCAGTAGTGTTAGTGACACTTATCACGTTGCTGCCAATCTTGCATTTGGATCGCCGTGTCACAGCAAGTACAACTGCGAAGAGGAACCGAAGCACTTGCATGCTGCAGACACGCTATATCTCGGCTGCTTCTGCCATCAGTCTATAGCATGCATTGCGTGGATCGGAGCCTCGCAATGTAGCCCGAGTGCGAGATGGACAGTAACGTGATAAGGGTCAGTCATGGCTGCGAGTCGATCCAGGGGCCACTAGTCGATGTCCAGCACTGAACTTTATTGTCGTCTGCCGGATCAGGAGTGTCCGAGTGCTGCGAGAGATGATTGAGAGTTGCTCAAGAGTATATAAGACCTGGCAGTAACCTTGCGGTACGTATGTACAGAGCGTGATTGATATTCGCGGTGGTGACTCATCACCCCCCATTGGTGGTGATGAGTCACCACCAATGGGGCACCACCTATTTCGCAAACGTCCTCGATGCACTTTTGAACGTAGACCAGGATCTCGTCGTGAGCTGTGCCAACTGGAGAAGTTTAAAGGCTTCAGGGATGGAGTCCACCAGACAGGCCAGGACATGGTGGGCTAGCTGGTCTACGGCAGATTGTAGTTCAGATATCTGGCCAGATACAATGGCCTTCTCTAAGCAGTCAAGAACGATGTCAGACAACTTGTCGGTGTCCGTGCAGGCCCCGAGGACGTCCAGGACTTGAGCCTCGTCGGTGGCACTCTCCTCGAGAACAAAGATGTCGCAAAGCAATGCTTTGGTGGCGTCCCCGCATCGGAGCCCGGTGTGAGATAACGGGAGCCCGTCGTTGACTAACAGTACTCGGAAGTGCAACTTGGACTCAAAAGAAGAACTACTCAGACCCATGATCTCTAACATAAACTCAATCCTCATCCTAAGAAATTGAACCGTCGTAAAACGGGCCATCCGGCCATAGCGAGATCGATCTGATGAGCATGAGTACGCGTGTACAAGCACGCATGCGCAACGAAAAGGGAGCCGCTCTGAAATGGAGCTGGCAAACATGGTGTAGTCTGCTGTAGTCGACCATCCCTAACTCTACGGATAGCATCCCTACATGACAAAGTTGTATGATCAGTGCACAAGCACGTACAACAGTAGTAGAGATGTGGCATGCCTCAACATAAAGTGATATTACGAGATTTGAAACACCTTTCAATTGTCTCGACTTGCCGTATAAATACACCAAAACTAGGGAAATAATGATTATGCAGCGACTGCCAGTTCGAACAACGACGAAAAGAGTTGCTTCTGCACATCGACGCCCCC